AAAGGAGTTTTCAATTAACCAAGCACGTGTTCACAAGTGCAATCGGAGGCGCTGCGTACGTTGCTTCAAACAGGTTTTAAGATAATCAGTAATAATCTAATACCACAATTACTTGTCTGAGAGTATGACCTGTCTCTGCTGACCCGAGTCTTGATAACGGTTGATCAGCCGCTCGCATGGCCTTGCAGAAGCTGCAAACCGCGAGGAGCTAGCGAGGGGAGTTCGACGCCTCTGGAAGGCCTGAGTCCGCGTCAATGCAGGTGCCTCGAACTCCATTCTGATTAGGTCGCTGATCTGCTCGCGCAGATTGTGGGTATCTTTGTCATCGGAAACATCGCCACTGGCTAAGCCGGTCTCGGATCCTGACTGGGCAGATCGTTTCGCCGGTCCAGTAGCCCGACTCACTGGGTCTGCAGGCGTCGAAAGAGTACGATTGAGGCCGTCCTCAGAGTGGCCTGGGGCCAGCAAACTTTGTGGAGAGCCGCTCGATTCATTATCCATTTGACCATTGCCCGACATGCTGCTGAGGCTCGAGTTGCGCAATGCGACCCCCGTAAAGCTCTCTGCAGAAAACGATCCATCTGAGGGCGTGGAAGCTGTCCCGAATCCGCCGCCAGTACCATCTAGACTTCCATAGTGGTTGAGTAGTGGGCCTTGAGGAACGGAAGAGAGGATATAATCCAATAAATCGAGACTGGTCTCCATCGAGAACTTGTCAAAATAGAATAAAAGCTATATATACATATATATGTATACATATAGATTATTATTTATGTATTTATTATGTATATATGTATATGGGTGTGTGTAAAAAAATTGGAATTTGCAATTAACTATAGAGAAAGTATAAAAGATTGTCGATAGGTCGACAATCGTTGACTCGGGTTCGTTTGCGATGTACGCCGGTAGTCTCGTGTTCTTAAGTGCAGAGTAGCCACGCCAAAAGGATTTCTTTTATCCATTCATCAAACGGCCTGCTCGGTAGACAGATAAGCCAAATCTAGAGGGCGCCAGGGGAGAGGAGAAGAGGAGAAGCCTTAGCCAAAAAACAGACCAAGGTTTTGGCGATCGTGAAAACAAAACGAATCGACTGAAAGGAAGGTTAAGTGATGAGCTTCCTTGGGCCAGATAAAGGTATCAGATTTGCCCCAAATCTGTTGGATAAAATTGAAGAAGACATTTTTCGTAAGTGAATAGGTTTTCATACATAGGGAAGACTTAGCCTTCAGAATATTCCAGGTTGTGCTAGGTTGGACCTAACGCATGGACTTCGTGAGTGATTTATAGAAGTGGGTTGACCTCGTTGTCGCAACTTAGTCATATTGTCAGGGGGACTTAGTAGAACGCACCTAGTCCGAAGTTGTCTACCATAGTAGTTGCCATAATTCCCAGCATCAGACAGTTGACTTGGTACATTCTCAAACGTTTCACCGGCATCGTAGTCGGAATCATCAGTGAGTTTTGCCATTCTCTGCAACAAGCTACGAACTCGTCAAAGAGACAAGTGAAGTCAATCCCTCGACAAACGTGATGTCGAAAACGGTTACACTATCACTCCTTTTTCTGTCCTGGCATATCTCACTTGTTTACATTCCACTCGTCAAAATGTGTACCCTTTTGTTTTCGGCAAAACATTTGTCGAAGAATTGAGTTCACTTGTCCCTTTGACGAGTTCGTGCTTGGTGCAGAGAATGGCAAAACTCACTGATGATGCCGACTACGATGCCGGCGAAACGTTTGAGAATGTACCAAGTAAACTGTCTGATGCTGGGAATTATGACAACTACTATGACAGACAACTTCGGAATAGTTGGGTTCTACTAAGTCGCCCTGACAACAAGACCAAGTTGCCGCAACGAGGTCAACCCACTTCTATGCATCGAAAGAAGACTGCGACTATACCAGAGGCCACACCATCTTCGTCTTTATATCTTCGTGGGTGATTGTTGAAAAAGCCGAACAAACATATGAAATGAAAACTTTCCTCACTAATCGACATTTTAATAGGAAGATTAAACAAAAGTGGCCTCTTAAAACAGAGCTGAATAATATCTGGCCGGGATCTCGACGCAAAACGATGTATCCTCATCGTCAGCAGCACTATACAAATTATGTGCAATATGCTGTAGTGCTAGAGCTGATGCCAAATGAAATTGCCGTGGCAACAATTAGTATCGACAAAAATTGCAAAGTTGGA